AAGAGTCAATCACCATAGGGTGACTTGCTTTGGATTGCTTTCCACATTCACATGCCGGACAGAGAGTATCATTGCTGAATTTGAGAATAGGGAGTCCTCTGACTAGTTCTCCGGTGACCAAATTGTTGATGTACCTGAAGTTGAGATGAGCTAGTTTGCGGTGCCATAGCCAGCTGACTTCGGATACGGCTTTGGATAGGAAACACAACTGCGGTCTGCCTATGATCAGAGAGACATCCAAAGGATACATGGTACCTACGGATCGGGATTTGATCAGACACGTGTTCCTATCACTTGTCATTACATAGCAAAATTGATCATCAAATTCAACTCGATGGCCTGCCTTACATAGTTGGCCAACACTGATGAGATTGTGTTTAAGGCTTTCTACATAAGCAACCTTTTGAATAGAGAAGTTCCCCGTAGTGAGAAAAACGTAACCTCGGATGACCCCATTCGCATTGTTGCCGAATGTGACATTTCCACCATTGCAAATTGGCCTGAAATCCCGAAGGTATTCTAACCTTCCGGTCATGTGCAAGGAGCAGGCACTGTCGATTAACCATTCATCTTCTTGTTCCTCCTTGCACAAAGCCTGAGAATTACACGGTTATCTTAGGCATCCAAACTAGTTTGGAGCCTGGGGCAATTGGTGAATTTCTGAATGATGCATGAACCGAGGTTGCAGGGACGGGTTTCTTGTCAACTTTCAATCCTAGTCCTGGATGTTTGTGCAGTTTTGGAGTGTTGTGATTTTTTGAAAAATTACGAGGTTTCTGACTCCGACTAGATTTGACATAGAATGAATCTTTTTGGCAATTACACTGACATTTACAAATTGTGATTTTGTCTTTTGTTCTGACACCATGCTTGGTCAGCGGTCTAGAGGATGAATTTGACTTGTGACCGGTCTGAGGTTGGTAATATCTGACATGAGTGTTGTTGGGTTTTGAAAAGGTTTGTTTTTGAAAAGGTTTAGCACGTGTAGATCTTTGAGTCCTTTTTGGTGGATTTGGTAGAATACCCTTCCACTTGTTAAAATTTTGACGTGACTTTAAAATGTTGGAGTGGGTAAGATACCCTTCCATTTTGGATCATCTGAGGAATAGAATTGAAAACCATTGTTTCGAAAAGACTTTACACTCTTTTGGGTTGTGTCAGATGAATTAGGAATGACTGTTGAAACTGGACATTCCTTTTTGTATTTTTTCTTGATGGGAGAGTTTTTCGAAAAGTAGTGTGAGAAAACAAATTTTTCTGGACTCATGGACTTTGGAAATCTGACATGTTTCTTGTTTTTCGAAAAAATTTGTCTATTTGTGCCTCGGGATCGAATTTCCTCTTTGAAAGCCTTTTTAGCTAAGGATTTTGGTGAACCGCAGTCTTTGTTGTTCAACTGCGGTTTCCTGGAATCCTTTTAAAGTTTATGAAAACGAGGGCTTGAGTCATCAGAACTTGAAGATTCAGGGATTTGAGAACATTGACCCACTTCAAAGTTTTCTATGGGTAATTCGTGATGAATCGGTTGAAGAGTTGTAGAACTTTTGTTCGAGGACTGCGGTAGGGATGATTTGACTACCGTAGAGTAAGTCTTAGTTGGGATTGCTGTGGGACTTTTGTGAGACTTTTGTGATTCATGACTACAGTGAGAGACACTGCGGTCTGAGGGTAGAGATGGAAATTCTTGCGAGACTTCCGGACCCTCGACAACTATTTCTTCCTCAACTTCGGATGAGGTTTGAGAGTTTGGGTAAATGATGCCACATATAGGAATTTGATCACTTGTGTGATCCGAAACCTCAGGCACGATTTCCTCAATGACACAGTTATTGCTTAGATTATGGAGTCTACCGAAGTATGTTCTGATGTCTTCGGGAAAAGTCTTGTCATTGACTGGGAAATGAAATTCTCGGTCTGGAGGGACATACAGTCTATCTTTGTTAAACCGGGGTGAGGTATCCATTGCGGTAGGATATCCATTTGACCAACCCCAATTGTATGTGTTGTCCACGGTTCCATTATTTACCAAATTTTCAATAGCTTCACTTTCATTGAACAATTTTTCGATTAAAAGATTTAAGCGCACAATTTCACTCTGAGCTAAATCTCTCTGGTTCAAAGCTATTTCTAAATGTGTTTCACTCAACATTCTTGCATCTTTTTCTAACTCTATGTCCTTTTCTAACATAGCCATTTTGAGTCTCTTGTTATCCAGTCGTCCCCTCACATGGAACATCTCTTGGGACGCAATGTTCTTCTCATCTAAGGCTTTGTTATAGTCTGTAAGGACGGCAACACATGTGTCATTAAGATTATCTATGAAAGGTTGACAATCATGCATGCTATAGTTTAGAGTTTGGATCATGAGTTTTACCTGTTCGACGATGCTTAGAGTTCCATCCTTTGCCATGTAGCAGTAGTTCTTTTCCAGCTTTGTAGACTCATCATCATCCGCAGTTGCCAGCATGCAGATTTTCCCTTTTCCTTTGATACTGCTGATGGCTTCATCTTCATCTCCGGATGACCAAACTTGATGGTCTCTTTTGACATGGGCTACGTATGCCCTTGCCTTTTCCTTTTCTTCTAACTCTTGAGCCATTCTAAGATAGAATGCTCTGTATTTTACTACATTGGCCTTACAATCTCTTGCAAAATGATTCTCTTTGTTGCATTTGTGACAAATCACAACATCAGTTTTGTCTTCTGAGGGAGTACTGAAGTCAGTGGTTTGAGTAGACTGCGGTGCCTCCTTCGGTTGAGTATTTTGAGATTGCGGTGGTGGATGAGAACTTTTGGGATAACGAGGATGATTATTCTGTGGGTTGAAGTTACGGTTGAATGGAGGTTTGTTGAACTGTTGATTTTTGCGAAAGGAAGTAGGTGGTAGTCGATTGAACTGTTGGCTAACTAGAGCAATAGCCTTCTGAAATTCTTCTTCATCATCATACTCTGAATCAGCTTCATATGACTGCGGTGGAGTGTCATACGAGGGAGAGTAAGATTGATTATGTGGAGCTTGTGCTATGAGAGCAAGTGGTCCTCCGAAGTCAGCACAGTCTTTGAGTACGGTGGATTCTTGTGCTTGCAATTCTCCATAGAGCTTGTAGAGAGACAAAGAGTGAATCTTTCTATCGCCTTGGACTATCATCTTAGCCGTAGTCCAATGTCTTCCCAAGCCATTGAGAAACTGAAGATTTGTTTCATGGTTACTTCGGATGGTACCCGCATTGGATAACTTGGTGACTATTAGGTTGAACATTTTGAAGGAGTCTTCCAAACTTTTGCCGGTATGAGCTTTGAAGTTGTTGAACTCATTGAGTGCGGTTGTAAGCTTCTTATCTTGTGCTTGTTCTGAGCCTTCGTATAGATTCTTGAGAACTTCCCACATCTCTTTTGCTGATTTGCAATTTATGATAATATCGAAGTTGTCAGGAGCAACTCCACAAGAAATTTCATAAAAAGCAACATCATCATTTTCCATTTTATCGAGATCATCCTTGGTGGGACGACTCATGACTGGTTGACCTCCTCCTAGTCTGGCAGTAGCGCCGTCAGTTTGGACTGGTGTAAGAATTGGGACATGTGGTCCTTCTTCTACGGATCGCCATACATCTCTACCAAGTCTTCTTAAGTATCTTTCCATTCTTTGTGACCAGTGATGATATTCATTTGCTACCAGTATTGGGGCTCGGTTTGAACCACCAACACTGTTGGAAACATTCAGAGATAACGATTGTGCCATAATTTTGAAGTTTTTTTTTAAGAAATGAGCTTTAGTGGTATAGAATGCCCTTTGAAAATCAGAGTTCCATTTTTCAAAAAGCAACCACTATGGCTCTGATACCAATTGTTGAGAGAAAAACTTTGAGACACACTTGAACAAACGTTAGAACAAGTATATTGCGGAATAGTTAATCTCGAAGGATCTAAAAGCTCAACAATAATATTAATAAGTTAGAGTTAGATAGTTAGAGAGTTAGTTGCGGAAAAGTAAAGAAATAGAAATGACAACAATTGTTATATCAAGTATACACATAAGTTGATTCATAACAAGGAATGCATTCAAACCAAGTTAATAAGGAAGATCAAACTTAGTGATTAAGTCTCAAGAGACTTGCTCCGAAGAGAGATTGTAATCAGTTATATTCTAGTAAGATTTGAGAGTAAGAAGAGATGCGTAATTAGATAGAGAGATAGAAAAGATATCTTCATAGTTGTATTGAATAAGAACGAATGAGCTCTATTTATAGAGTCTCAGGAAGTACACTAGATTACATCTCTAAGAGTAGCCATGCAAGGCATAGTTGACAATAGAGAGTATTACAGAAAATAGACAAAGTAAATTAATCTAGTAAAAGAGACTGCGGTTGAAGATGACTCCGGGTGTGGTTGCTGATGAGACTTTGACTGCGGGTGCTTGTCGACTGCGGTAGCTGAAGTCCAAGAGGGTCACTTTTTATGATTCAACAGATACTCTGATAATTATTATTTTGAAAACAAACGATGTAATCTTAAATGGTTTTTAAGTGTTTGAAAAAGTTTAAAATTGGCTTGAGTTTTATGGGTGTTACAGTTATGCAGGAGAAAGAATCATCTGGTGGAATTAAGCCTCTCAGGTTGATGGAAAGAAGTTTTTTCAGTGATAGAATGGTACAAACTATGCCATTTGTTCTATAAATTCTCTGTTTTTAATAGGGTTAAATTAATGTACTTTCATTGATATGTTTGTTATACTTCCATTGATATCTTTATTATATCATAGCATACTACCTTCATTTCTTCCTATTACAATATTGTACTTTGAAAAATCCACCCAATTATATCAACATTATCCAGATTTAAAGCAATTTTCACTGCTATAATTGGGTTGATTTTTCAAAGGTTAACATCCTAATAAGAAACAAATTGGAAGTACAATTCTATTTATGCATGTGTTTACTTTTGGTACTTCCTTACAACAACTCCTTTCCTGATGGTTGTTTACTTTTGGTACTTACTTGATGAAGGTGTTTGTGAGAGCTGTTCATGAAGCAAACTGGATGAATGAGATGGAAATCGACATTTATGATTCACGGTTTGATCCAGTTGTTTCATCTCTGCCTGGACTTATTCCAGATGGATTCATCTATCTTAGAGCTAGCCCTGATACCTGCCACAAACGAATGATGCTACGCAAGAGACAAGAAGAAGGTGGAGTAAGCCTTGATTATCTTCGTGGTCTGCATGAAAAACATGAAAGTTGGCTTTTACCATTTGAAACTGGAAATCATGGTGTTTTTATCTGTCAGCAAGCTCCCCCCTTACATGGATGCCTCCTTGCATCCTGGTATAAAAGATCAGGTTTTCTATTTGGAAGGCAATCAAATGCACTCAAGTATTCAAAGGTAACCCTTATAGCTTAATTAAGCCTATTAGTTAGTTAGTTAGTTGCCAACTGAATTTTTGTTTGTGTGTGTGTATGTAAACAAACAGGTCCCTGCTTTGGTTCTTGATTGTGAACCCAACATTGATTTTTCAAAGGATATCGATGCTAAGCAGCAGTAAGCTATTTTTAATTACATTTTATACTAGTATAATAATATTAAATTCTAACTTTTATAGTCTATTTCTGAAGGTATGCTCGTCAAGTTGCAGAATTCTTTGAATTTGTCAAGAAAGCGAAAGAAGTTCCAGAAAGCGGGTCATCCCAATCACAGGTGCTATCACCTCATAGTGGTGGGTTGTGGGTCCTACCACAGGTACAGGGGAAGAATTTTCCCGAGTCTCTAAAATCATTGGACTTGAGAAAGGCCATGTCTCTCATGTCTAGGACTGGCTCTACTTGATAGTTGCTGGCTTATTGGCTCATTGCTTGTAAAAAGAAAAGATTTTCTTACCTATCTCTCTCTCCTTGTTCGTGTAGCTTCATCAAATTGTGGATTATAACTTTGTTTAGGATGATGGTAGTAGGATTTTGTCATAAAATTTGTGAAAAAGTCTTTTTGTAGTAGGAAATGTTAACTGGTATGCAAGATCCATGTAAACGTGTTTGTAGATATGTTTTTTGGGGAGAATATTTCCTAACTTTGTCTTTTACATGTTTCTATGCAAGATCAATTTAAATTCTAGCAAGGAGGTGAGAATAGAATATATGAGGGAGAAAGTATTATGGTTAGAGATGATTTAAATCAAGATGGGCATTTGAGATCATCTTTTTTAACAAGTGAAACTTTACATCATCTCTGTTTTTTTATAAGCCAACTATTGCACTTGAACAAGGACATCTCATAATCTTGGATTCTAGTGGAATATTTAATGAACAATATAGTAAATAAGTAGGTGCTTGGATCTCTTCCTATATATACCCCACCCATTGATTAAAAAAAAAACAATCCTAGGAAGGATGTCGTAACAACCAATTTGATAATGGCTTAAGCTTTCATGTGGGATCACCGATGTGGGGTGGGGGAGGGGAGGGGCTTAATTTTAGTGTCTCTTCCACCATCATCTTCAAATTCAAGCATGTATTTTTATTTAGGAACATTATGGTGCACCTGAAAAGGTTATTTAAACAAAACTGTAAAGGGAGGTAGGCATATGTTAAGCACTATATAGAAAAATCACTCAAAGGTCAGTCATGGGAAGTGATGCTTGATCAAACCATCAAAATAATGAATGGATCGTTTGTGTGATTATTTACCATGGTTAGGTTATTTAATTGACCAATTAACTGGTTGGAAATATTAAAAGCTAGATAACTGCTTTAGTAAGCTTGATGCCTAGACGATCGTCAATAACCATAAAAATCATACAACTGCAGAAATTAACTGGATATAAATAAAACTAAACCCAAACATATATAGCTAGTTACCGAACAAGCCATTCAAAAAGGAGTAAACTTTACCAAAAGCCAAGACTGAGAGGCTATTGGGGGGTGATTACTTCATTGAGTTTGGTTCAAGCTATTTACTAATTAGGTATAAGTTTTGTTTCAACCTATTTATTAGTTGAGTTGAGTTTTCAACACAAGCTAACTTGTTTATTTAGGGTGTGTTTGAGATTGTTTATTTAAGGTGCTTATCTGTTTATTTCAGTTTGACATCGGTAATAATCAAATTTTAGTTTTTTGGATAGACTAAAATTATAAGTTTTTATTTACTCAGATAAAGAGTTTTTGATAAGTTAGTGGGTTCTAACTTATCAAAAACAACTTATGACTTATTTAAACAAATTTGTCATATTAACCTTATTATAAATATGTCTATATACTTGACCTTTATTGGTCATTTTATATCTACAAGCAGAAATTACCGAACATTAAAAACGAACTTATCAATTTATTACGTTTTGATAACGGATAAGCTAATCCAAACATTTTTTTTAAAACTCCGTTTTAACATCGGAAAAGCTAATAAACACTTTTACAAATAAACATAACTTGTTTTAAATAAACAATCCCCAATACCATCCTTAAATGAGTTGATATTTTTCAAACTAACCTAATATATCAGATAAATGAGTTGTTATTGGGTTGATCTATTTATGTAATTTCCAACCCAACATATTAAATAAACGAGTTAAACATGAATTAACTCATTTAAAATAAAAAATTAACTAAATATTACACCACTTAAATTAGTTCCAAACTGAAATAAAATTTCACAAATATGACAAGCATAATACCAATTCAAAAATACAAATAAATTGTTCAATTAACAATAAAAATGTTTAATTTCAAATTGATTTTAGAGAATGACTAGTGTTAGCGACGCGAAGAAAATAGATGTGATTTAGGATTGCATTTTTTAAAACATAAATAATAATATAACATCATAATTTATAAATTAATACTTAGATTAATACATGATAATATTTAAAAAAATTACTAAATTTAAAATATAATAAAATTAAAGGGGTTGATGGGTTGAAAATGAGTTGTTAAATTTTACCCAACCCACTATATTTAACTAAATGGGTTAGAAGGGTTGACCCATTTAACAAAAATGGATTGAAAATTTCAACCCAACCTGCTAATTTTGGGTTGAGTTCGGGTTGGGTTGACGAATTGTGTTGGAAATATAAGTTTTTTATATTCAGTCTTATTATTTATATGTTTAGATATTGTTTTGTTATTAATATTGTTTACAAGGTTAATTGTGTCAACTGGTAATAATTGAATTGATATTTGTATTGAAATATATGTTGTTATGAGGGACTGCATGTGTATCTTTGGGTTTCTATTAGGTTGCAGCTCGTTTTCTTCATTTTTAACAAGTAAAACATGTGAATCTTTTGGGTTGCTCGGAGTATTGTTTAGTGATTGAACGATGTCATTTCACAGTCATCGTTTTTTTCACAAAGGTTAGAGTATCTTTTTCTTCTGCTCTTTCGTATTTTTCCTTTTATTGATTAATCTTGTAGATTTGATATTATCAGTGTCAAATCTAGGGTTTCTACTTGATTCCTTGTAGATCTATGCCTGTTGTGTAACCCCCTGTTATAAGTACAAGTTTTATATTTCTAATTTGTGTATTTTTGGTGGGCACGACGTGGTGGATGAGCTACCACGACGTGGCGAACTTATGAGTTGACTTTAACCATTAGCTTTTTGATATGGTTGACTTTTGGTCAAATTGCTAGTTTTAGAAAGTAAACTAAGGTTTGACCTTGAATGTTTCGATGTGTGGATTGTAGCATCGATTTCATGACTTTTCGAGCTGTAGTATATTCGATTCGAGTGTAAGGTGAGTTTTCTCACTATATTATGTAGTATGCTAGCTTTCTATGTGACTCTTGCATGTATGTTGAGCGTGACTCGTTTTGTATGTTAGGCGGGGCCCATTTTGTATGTTTGGTGGGGCCCGTTATGTGAATTGGGCAGGGCTAATTATGTATGATGGGCGGGGCCCAATATATGAGTTGGGCAAGGCCAATTATGCTAATTTGGGTGGGGGCCCTTATGTTTTGGGTGGGGCCTGTATGGTCATGTGATACTTTGGGGAAGTTACTAAGTTTTGTGATTACGGTTTTATGTTTAAATGTTTCAGGTACTTCTGATTTCAAATGGAAAGACCCGACTTGATCGCACAACATCATCTAGAGTTTTATTTCCGCATTATTAATTTATAATTTTGACTCAGATGTTGAGAATACATTATACTCTAATTTTCTTTTGAACAAATAATTGAATGGTTTTGCTGGTTCAAAATTGAAATTTTTTACTTAGTATTTTTGGGACATTACAAGTGTTAGATTAAGGTGTCTAAGCTCATAACTAAATTGGTATAAACTTGTAATTACAAGTAAAGTCCTCTTTGGGTTGCCCTCATAACTAGTAACCGATTAGAATGATATATGTAGAGAGAGAAAATAATTTATTAGTTTATTATATGATTAATAAATTAATTACAAACAGATTAAATTAATTGATAACTGATCAGAATTAATTTGGGATCAACTGAAATTAATTAGAAGTGCAAAGGCTGCTTCGTAATTGCTTAATAGTTGAGCAAAATAGAGATTCTAGAAACCTCCATAGCTTGGACGTTTTTGGATGCCTTGGAGGGCAATCTAAAATGCTCTAATTAATAAAAGGAAAGTAGATAATTACCAAGATTTGAAATAATATTATTTAATGTTCAAATCTAGGGTTTCTAGGGCTTCCTTACAGCTATATAAAGGGGCGTAGGGCTTGCATTTTTTGGCCACTATTCTAAGAGATACCCTAACCACAAATTTGCCTCCCCTCTCCTCTATCCTATTTTGTGTTCTAGTTTCTAGCTTTGGGTGTGAGCCATTAGAGACGTCATCATTTTGGTGCTAGCTTTCTAAAGATCTACAAGGGAAGGGATCAAAGGAATTGTTTGAAATAACAATTCAAAAGATGTGTAACCCTAAGCTATGAATTTCGATTATAGTCGATTTCTTCTAGGGTTTGTAGTTAATAGCATGTTGTCTTTAATGTGAAAACATAGATCCGTATAGGTTGCATGTACCATTAATTGTCAAGTGTTATTTTTCCGCATTGTACATGAATTTTATAACCTATGAAACCAATCAGTAGTATTAGAGCTTAATTGTCTTACATTGAGTGTGCATGAGATGAATTGAAAACAAAAATAAAAAAAATCGAAAAGGTCGCGCCGCGTCTTTCCTTTTTCATTTTTTTCCCGTTTTTCTGCCTTATCTGATTAGTTGGTTGTTAATTAGTCATAACCTGGTTTTGGTTATGTTAAAATCTAAATTTTGGTTGCCTTATATGATTAAAAACCCTAATTTTGAATTTAAGGAGATAAACATGGAAACCTAATCTAGTAATAAGATAATTTTATGGTTATCCTTGTAGACTTTAATATTTAATTTAACTAATGCATTAAATCCATAAATTAATTAAATGATTTAATTAATTTAATTAAAAGGATAAAGATAAATCATTAATTGGTTTAAAATGATTAATTAATTAATAATTAATTTAAAATAAAATATTAAACCTTAAAGTTTTTAAAATATTTAAAATACACCCTATACATATGTATACCAACTTTAATACTATATGTGTGAGAAAAGTCAATCGAATCAATAGTATGCCTTATGCATGAAGCCATGCTATAAGAGGGGTATAAGGAAACGACCTATAAAATGACTGTTGAATGAGTGTCCTTTTCACCCATCGTTCCTTTGTGTGGTTGAGGGTCGTTAGCCGAATGGGTTGATAGAACATGATTAAAAGTATAATTAATAAAGTACTAGAACATTCTTCAAAAATCTCACTCTAGTTACTTTAGGAAAATGTGAAATGTATGTTAATCCATGAAAACACAAATCATTTCTTTGCTAAGTCATTAGT